TATGAGATAAGGTTTAATTTATAAATGAGGCACAGTAAGAGGTTAGCACCAACTAATAATAAAGTAGAACAATTAGAGCAACTTATTGTAGTAAAAGTTATGTGAATGGGGTCTCTGTCTCTCTCTCAAAATGTCTTATTGTATTGTATTCACCTATTTTCAGATTGTAGTTGACTAAGGGTAACTGAAACCACAGATAAGAAGACTACAGTATTTGTTTAGAATCGTATTTTGGGGTTTTGCAGTAAACTTAATTGCTCATTTTCTGAATTAGAGGGAAACTCATGCAAACTCCTAAGAAAGAATTTGCCTTTTTTTGTGCGCACATAAAAACACTCCACTTGCCTTATTTTGGAATTATAAGCTGTCAAGGGTAAGAGTTAGCTTTATATATGTTTGGCTGGCCTCCTGATTTCATACTGATTTAATTAAATATTTGATCTTAATTAAGACAGGGGATATAGTTAATGTGCAAGTGATAATGTAGTTTCATTTAATGATTCTTCATGTTTGCCTATCAAAGGATTTATTTCTTTCTTTTAGAAGAGTTCGGTCTATATGATAAATTTTAGTTTAGGGATGGGAGTGTAAGCAAATGTCTGATTTTGTTTTTGGATTGAAATGATAATTATATAATTCAATTCAATCGTTTTTCCTTCTTTACTATTCAGCTCTTATAATGCACACGAACGCAACAAAGCACTCAGTGTGGTGTTTCACCATTTAAGTGTGACTGGTGAACCTCAGAAATAAGATTTTCTGGTAAATTATAAAAGGTATAAATGGCTTAATAAAATCACATTTCTCAATCTTGCAAAATATCCATTAACACCTTTGTCTAGGGGGTTCTCATGACTTTTAAAGGATAATAGAGGGTTAAGTCTCTACTGTCACTAGAGTTTTTTCTTTGTTCAATAAATGACTAACACATTGACTGTCTCATTTCTATGACACATCATCAGTTCTGGACTTGGTAGCAGTATGCTCATCATCTCATCTTGTGTTTTGCACTCAGTTTATTGTAAAGCTTAGATGCTATAATGCCACAAATATTTGGGATAAAGGAATGGCATAGTAGGACTTAAAGAGCATGCCTTCATTATGATAATTTTCATCATGAGATAATTGACCTACCTTGTATTTATTTCTCCTTTTGCTTGGTGGCTTTTTAAGTTTTCAATGTTTAAGAAAAATTATAATATGTACTAAGATATCCTTTTATAGGCCATGTTTATAGATTTTTTTATATCACAAATACTTTATATATATATATATATATATATTGCATTTTAGGTTTTGGGGTACATGTGAAGAACATGCAAGATTGTTGCATAGGTACATACATGGCAGTGTGGTTTGCTGCCTTCCCCCTCATCACCTATATCTGGCATTTCTCCCCATGTTATCCCTCCCCAACTCCCCATCCCCCACTGTCCCTCCCCTAGCTCCCCCCCCACAGACCCCATTGTGTGATGCTCCCCTCCCTGTGTAAAAGACATCTCTTATACTTCATATAAAATTATCACACAAAAATAACTTGGTAGAAATGTATCTGTAAAACTTTCTGAGTGTCTTCATCTCTTAATCTTCTCTTCCACATGTCGTATTCAGGCGTTTTTATTGACTTTTACATCTTCATTTATTTTTATATATTTTTTAACATCTCCCAAACTTAGGAATCCATTCACTTTTGATCTGAGTGTACCTTAATTCATTCTAGCTTAGCCATTATTCATCTCAAGAAACTAAAATCTCCATGTCATATTTTAGTTGTTGCTGTAGCTTATAAACCCCACCTGTAGAATATCATCCATACTCTATTACTAGTTAATCTCTTTTTACACCCCAAAGTAACGGATTCTTTTTGGTGACTTATCACATAGTAACTAAAAACTAATGTTTATCACTAGTAAATAAAATCATTTCGATTTTAACTTTTTGTTTTTTTAAATTTTCAGGCCACATCTGTTTCACATTGACAGTTTTGCTTGTGACGCCAGTAACCACGGGCTGGCTGACTTAGCCAAAGAAGAGTAAAGAAGAAAATGCACACAAGTAAACAGACTGTTTCTAGTTTCTTAGACCTATTTGCAGATTGGACACAATAAATGCAGTCGTGCTCTTCATTTAGGATGCTTTCATTGTCTTTCAGGTGTGTTAAGAATGTCAACAAAGCAAAGAGAAAAGAGACAGTCTTGGATTTACATTCTTAGCACACCTAAGCCTCTTGAAAATAGAACAACTTACAGAATTGAGAGTGATTCTGGTCCTAAAAGTGTAGAAAAGCATAGATACTTGTTCATATTTAGAATAGGAGCATGAGGAAAAGAAAAGTAATTTTTTCCCCCACAAGATCTGTCATGTTATTTATACTTATAAAAGAAATAAATAATGAAAAACATTATTTGGATATCAAAAGCAAATAAAAACCCAATTCAGTCTCTTCTAAGCAAAACTGCTAAAGAGAGATGAACTACATAATAAAGTAATCCTTGGCTATAAGGCATTTTCATCTTTTCTTATGGGCTAGAAAAATATTTTAAAGGTAAATCATGCTAGTGATCCAGGAGTGTTGATGACAAGGGAGGGATATCGAATGAAAGACTGAGTCTTCCTTTATTGCACAAATACAGTTTGGAAGAAACCTGTGAAACATGTCTTCTTTGACTTAATATCTTTAAAAGTATCCAGAGATATTACAATATTAACATAAGAAAAGATTTTTTCTTATTTCTGACGTGAGATGTGAAATTTGTAAATCTTATTCTTTTGTAATATTTATTTATATTTATGACAGGGAACATAATGATTTTACATGTAAAATAAGAGTTGAAAGATCCGTAAAGAAAAATTTATTTTCCCAAAATAGAAATAAATAATCCCATTTTTTGGTCTTATCTAGTATTTGAAATTTATTCTTATACGCGACTACTTTATTTCTAAATAGGAGATTCCCTACCTGCCTACTACAAGCAGTTCAGAATGCTGTCCCTTGGTTGTACTAGTATGAATAATTTTGTTGCTTTTAAATTATGCTGTATTGTACCTTCTCAAGCATGTCATATCCTTTCCTATTAGAGTGCCTATATTACTTGTTACTGATTCACCTGAAGGCAATCTGACTAATTTCTAGGTTCTTACCATATTTGTGTCATCTTGCCAATTACATTTTAAATGTTAGACTAGACTAAGTTGCACTAGTTGTACAGAATATAACCAGGTTTATTTTTAGCAATGTTTATTTTGTTGTTGAAGTACTTTAAATTTCATAGGTTTCATGGCATTTCACTGAAAAGACTTTAACTTGTATTTCTCAAAATAATTTTTTTTCTCCTTAACCACAGTCATCACAACTAGCAGTACTAACAATAATTTCCTAATAGTTTCTAATATTAGGAAATTCTTTGAACTTTCCTAAAAGTTCCAAGAGTAGGCACATATCCACCTATTCATTCATTCATTTGTTAAATATGAGGGCCTACTCTGCTGTTGAGTAACCTGATGCTTCCTGGGATAGCAATGGTAACACTGGCTCAGTTATTCAGAAAAAAAGCTGACCGCCTCCTATGTGTAAGTTGCCATATGCTAAATGTGAGCTTACCAAGATAACTACAAGTGTCTGCCCTCAAGTTGCTTATAGTTTGCTACAGGAAGCCCAAACTACGTATTTATGGAGAGAAAGAAGGTAAAGTTATACGTGTTACAACCTTGAATATAATGAGTGCTTAAGCTGTGTTTGTTAAGCAGCTGAGTGGCAGGGAGGGAGACATTCAAGACGGGAAGGGATTGAGAAAGCACTAATAGATGAGATTATAATGGCAGGATGGTCGTTGTAGGAAAGGCTTGGAGTACGGGCTAGACTATGTCATGTGTTCTGTGTAGAAGTGAAAGTTACAAGCTCCAGACTATTCTGCTTGATCAAATTAGAATCAGCATAAAATAGGTTTATAATAGTGAGAACTTGCTATCTTATTTAGATAAGGGTAAAAGCAGAAATACTATTTAACAGTCATTTACCTTGAAGAAAATATACACAGTAGGCTTGCTGAGGGTAAAGGCACTTTCTTATAGGATTTATATTTACTGTGTATCCTTTATGAGGTTGAGTGGTTTTATTTTTGCTCAAGGTAAGCTCTCCTATGAGATTTTACGTTGATTGCAAAAGCTGTATTGCATTTCCTCTTTAGACTGATGTGTATTTGTTACAGCAAGTTATACCTGCTCACCGTAGAAAGTTGAGTGTTATAATATTTAGCCCACTATCACTGTCACTATTCTAGGACTTGAACATGAACAGTTTTTGTCCAATCACACCCTAGCCCTGTTTACTTTGGTTAATGCCCCATGTGCGAATGCCTCATTTTCCTCCCACCTGTCCTGAGTGTTTCTTCCTCCTTGTGGAAACTAAAAACAACCACTTTCCTGAACGTACTGCTTCCTTTGCAGCCTATTCCAGTGGCGGCTGGTTTATTTTTATATACATGACTCATTGTTAAGAGGTGGTGAAGGTGTTTTCCTTGTTCCTCATTGTCATGTCTTCCATCTCAGTCCTCCCACACAACCCTTTAAAAAGAGTAAGTGTCCACTCTGGTAGGGTAATTTACTAAAATGTCAAACGTTTTCCCTATAATTCTCCTTGGTGAAGACCGTGGATTCTGGAGAAAAATCGGAGCCCTGGCATTTCTTAACTTCAGGAGTCAAGGAATGTTTCTTGTCAATGTACCTTAGTTATCTATATGTAAAGTGGGCCTAAAATCAGTACCAGCCTCGTAGGATTGCAACGAGAATTAAGTTAATACACATAGAGCTTAGAATACTGCCAGCCACGGAGTAAGTGCCTAGTAAGTTTTAGCTCTTTTTAGTGCACAGGTGGAGAGATTGGCCTTAGGTGGAAGCATGTAGGACTTCTGTAGATACGGAGGGAACTGTTGCAGGTGAGTTGGAGATGGCCGTGGTGGTAGGTTTTGGAAATTTTCTTCACATTTCTTCTGTTTTCTCAGGGACATATACATCAAGGTCATTATGAAAATGATGACACATGAGGAGGTGTTACGTTTGAAGAGAGGAAGAGAAGGAAAGGACTAGAGACATTTAGTAAATTAGCAGGCAATGTTAAAGGCCCAGTTGAGGTAAGTGCTCTTGAATTTAGAATGCAATCAACAAGCTTGGTTCTGAGTTTTTCTGCAGTCATATTTAGCTTTCTAGTTACAGGCTCAGAACAAGGAAGTTGCTCAGATTAAACTATAAGTGGGCGTTCCCAGGTGAATTTGATGACGTGAGTTGAGCATGTGCACAAGGGAGTGATTAGAATGATGGACCATAGAATTTAAGCTATGTGAGAAGGGAAGTGAAGACATATGAGTGGTAAGAAACGATGAGTAACAGGATCAGTATTTTGTAGGCCTTAATGGAGTCATGTCATCGTTATACTTGGGGTGCTATTTAGAGTGAACTGGAATGGTAATATGCAGTAGTGAGAAATAAGAATGCCTCAATTGAGAGTAAAACAGAATTGGTGACCAGAGGACAAACCTGTCTACAAATACGATTCCTCTTCATTTTGGGCACAAAGTTAGGCACATTTCCTGGCACCCTTGCAGTTAAGTGTAGACATAGGACTGAGTTCTGGCCAAAGGAACATGATCAGAGATGTGTGGCATTTCTAGGTCTGGCCCTAAAACATTCCCATATGCAATCCTCCTTACCTCTTTCCCTACACTGAGTTGATGAAGGTGAGTGCAGCAACCTAATAATTCACATGCTAAAGATAAAAGAACCACAAAAAGGAAGGAGCTTGAGTCATTGCTTTGAGGAGAGCTGTCTGCTGATCAGGACCACCCACTTTAAACTTCATGTGAAGAAGAAGTAAACTGTATGTATGAGTTTAACATTTTAGAGATTGATGTGTTATGTTATTGTAGTTGACCTTAAACTAAAACAAGCCTTCTAGATTTTGATGATGCAAGGGTTTAGGCAGAACTATGGTGTGAAAAGTTGAAGTAAAATGGTGGACAAAAGTATTGGGGTAGAGGAGGCCATGGAACATCTTAATTGATACTGAAATCAAGAAGCATGGGAATTAATGTTAGAGAGTGTTACTTGCCACAGGCTAAAATCTTCAAGAAATGAGATAGAGTGGTTTGTACATCTGAAGATGACTGCAAACAAGAAGATAGCAGGTGCTACATTCTGATGACATGTGACTCGAAGGAAACATTTTGTGGAAAGGAAGGGAGATTGGCCTGCAAATAGCAATGATAAATCAAATAGGGCACCAGCTTTACCTCTATGCCTGGTAGTATGTGGAGTGAAAGAGCAAAAAGAGATTTTTGCCTACCAGAGATTTGTTTGGACATTCAAATCCACTGTATGATCTTCCACTCCTTGTTATTGCAATCCCCCTACTTTTTGGTCACGTCTCTCTGTCTGTTGAGGGCTTTGGAACCTGGCTCAGTGTCTCCCAATCATCCTACAATCTGGTATTATCCATAATTACTTCACATTGACAAGGATGACTCCTTATAACACATTCATGCCTCTGGTTTTATTGACCTTTTGATTTCTAATAACCTCCTTCACTTTACCTGAGTCACTCATCTCCATGGAACCTTCTTAAATCACTAATTCAGGCATTTTTTTAGCTCAATATAATCTTTTCAGGTTTCTAGTTTAGTTACCCCAGTATGTTCATCAACTCCCCACTTTCTTCCTATTATAAGTCTCCTACTGTGATAGATATTTTGTTTTCTCATCCAGAACCACACTCTAGCATACACCAACTTGCTGTGACCTGAGGCTGACCTATAATGGAAGCTGTGGAGGGGAGAGGAGTTGCATTCCTTCTGATTCTTGTTTTGTCTCAAAACACTCCACAACTTTTTTTTTTCTGCCATTCTATTATCAAAGGATGGCTCTCCTTCCTTTTTGCCCTCCTCTTTCAGAAGCTACACTTTCAAAGGCTATCAATTCAGATCACATTATATTTATGCCCCTTTCCTAAAGGTAGTGCATGTAGTTAGTGCTCTGTTCTACAAGTACACCTCTTCAGCATTTTCATATTTACAGCAGACTCTTAACTTTCTGGCAATGGTTCTGGAGCAATTTGAGGACTGTGTTAGGACAGCTTTTTTTTCTTTCATAAAGTCTTTCCGTAGACTACCCTTGCTGACCACAGAGGCTTCTAGGAGCAGTGTGAAAGACTGCTGGGTTGTTTTTGTTTCGTTTGTTTTCTTATAGGCAATTTGAAGTTGGCGCTTTGTCTTCTAGTTATGTTGAGAATGTGGTTTTTGTATGACCACACTTTCTATTGGTGTGGCTGTAGAAAATTAGATGTTTTTATATGTTATTGATGGGAATGCAAACTGGTACAGCCATTTTGTAAGGGAATTTTCCAATATCTAAAAAAATATACATATGCATTTACCCTTTGATCTACCAATCTCACATCTAGAAATGAACTCTGAAGCTATATCTCCAATAATATGAAAATATACAGGTATAAGATTACTCATCAGAACATTGTTTATCATAGCAAAAGACTGGAAACCATCTAAATACTCATATGTAGAACTTGCTGAATAAGCTATGTTATATCCAAACAGTGGAGTACTATGCAGCTATGAAAAAGAATGGGGAATACTATGAAGTATTATGAAATATTTCTAGTATATATTATTATTTATTTATTTTAGTAGACATGGGATTTCTCCATGTTGGTCAGGCTGGTCTTGTACTCCCAACCTCAGGTGATCTGCCATCTCCCAAAGTGCTGGGATTACAGGCATGAGCCACTACGCCCAGTCTAAGGATTTAGTATAGATTATTAAGCGAAAAAAGTAAAGTACAAAAACTATGGTATGCTACTTCTCATGTAAAAAAGAAATAAATACATGTCCTTGTTTGTACAAAAAGAAACATAGGAAGGATAAACTAGAAACAATGAGATAGTTATATACAAGGTATGAGTGGAAACAATGGGGAAGATGGGAATTCTTTTTAATTTTTGTTTTATCTCAAAACTTTTAGAAGCATTGTCTCACATATTACAAAGCCAAGTAAATATAAGGAATGAAAATAGGAAGGGAGGGGAGAGAAGAAATTACAACAGAATACAAACACAACAAATGAACCTTGTTATTACTATTATTTTTTTTGAGATGGAGTCTCACTCTGTCGTCCAGGCTGGAGTGCAGTGGTACAATCTCAACTCACCACAACCTCCACCTCCCAGATTCAAGCAGTTCTCCTGCCTCAGCCTCCCGAGTAGCTGGGATTACAGGCATGTGCCACCATATCCAGCTAATTTTTGTATTTTTAGTAGAGATGGGGTTTCACCATGTTGGCCAAGCTGGTCTCAAACTCCTGACCTCAAGTATTCTACCTGGCTCGGCCGCCAAAGTGTTGGATTTTACAGGCGTGGGCCACCACACCCGGCCTCTTACTGTATTTCAAACGAATAACTTGACCACAGTTAAGAGGGAGCTGTGAGGCAGAATTGAGTTAACCTTGGAACACAGTATTTTGATTATACAACCAAGGGCTAAAGATAAAAATAATATGAACAAATGTTGGATTCAGTCTAGTAGGTTCGTTTTTCATAGTAATGTGGGTTAGCAATTTCAACACTATGTGCATTCGAAGGTGGGGTAGATAAGCAAATATATTGCAAATAATGAGTCGGGTTTCTCACTGTTGAAGGGAATTACAAATAAGGGAACACTAGCACAGAGCCTGTGGTATTTGTAATTTGAGTTACCAGTATAAACTCATGATTTTGAACATAAAAACTGATACACAGAGAAACACACACACACACACACACACACGAGTGTCCATATCTGTATTAGGTTCTCCAAAGAAACAGAACCAATAAGATATATAGAGAGAGACATATGAAGAGATTTATTATGGAAATTGGCTCATGCAATTATGGAGACCTACAAGTCCCATGATATGCCATCTTCAAGCTGGAATCCCAGGAAAGCTGGTGGTGCAATTCTGAGATTGAAGTCTTGAGAAACAGGGGAGTCGATGGTGTAACTCCCAATCTAGGGCTTAAGGCCCAAGGACCAGGGGCTGCTGGTGTGCAGATACAAGTCCTGGAGTTCAAAGGATTGAGAAGCAGGAGCTCTGATGTCTGAGGGCAGTAGAAGATGGACGTTCCAGCTCAAGGAGAAGGTAAGAATTCGTCCTTCCTCCACTTCTTTGTTCTATTCAGGTGAGCCCTCAATGGACTGAATGATGCTCACCCACACTGTGAGGGCTGGTCTTTACTCAATCCGCTGCCTTAGGTGCTCATCTCTTCTGCAAACACCTTCACAGACACACCCAGAAATAATGTTCTACCAGCCACGGGCCTGTCACTTAACCCAGTCAGGCTGACACATAAAATTAGCTATCACAGCATCTGTGTGTGCATATATATGTGTGTATATATATTCATGTGTGTGTATATGTATGTATGTTGTGGCTGTGTGGGTATATACACATACATATACATTATATATAAACTATTTCAATATATTTTGCATTTTATATATTAATATGTAAAATATATTAATATACATTATATAAACATGTAATATATAAATTATATACTTATAAATGTTTTGTGTTACATATATATGCTATATTATATACTTTTTGCATATACTTATATAAATATATATATATATAATATGTCTTCTTGGAAAAGCCTACAAACAGACCCCAGATTCAGATTTTTTTTTTTTTTTTTTTTTTTTAGACAGTCTCACTTTATCACCCAGGCAGGAGTGTGGTGGCATGATCTTGGCTCACTGTAATCTCTGCCTCCTGGGTTCAAGCAATTCTCCAGCTTCAGCCGTCGGAGTAGCTGGGATTACAGGCACACACCACTACACCTGGATAATTTTTATATTCGGATCCAGATTTCTAAATATCTTTCTCCAGTTAAAAAAAAACTATATAGGAAGCCGGAGCGGCCAAGATGTCGCAGCCCAAGAAAAGAAAGCTTGAGTGGGGGGCGGGGGGGAGCGGGGGGCGGCGAAGGAGGGGAGGGAACTGAAGAGGAAGACCGCGCGGAGCGGGAGGCGGCCCTGGAGCGACCGGGGAGGACTAAGCCGGAGCGGGACCAGCTGTACTACGAGTGCTACTCGGACGTTTGCGTCCACGAGGAGATGATCGCAGACCGCGTCCGCGATCATCTACCGACCGATGCCTACCGCCTGGGCATCCTGCGGAACTGCGCAGCACTGCGAGGCAAAACGGTACTGGACATGGGCGCGAACACCGGCACTCTGAGCATCTTGTGCCCCCAGGCCGGCGCCCGCCGCGTAAAGGCCAGCGCCATCTGGCAACAGGCCCGGGAGGTGGTGCCCTTCCACGGGCTGGAGGACCGGGTGCACGTCCTGCCGGGCCCGGTGGAGACTGGAGTTGCCGGAGCAAGTGGCGGCCATCGTGAGCGAGTGGATGGGCTACGGACTCCTGCACGAGTCCCTGCTGAGCGCCGTCCTCCACGCGCGAACCAAGTGGCTGAAGGAAGACGGCCTTCTCCTGCGGCCTCCGCCGAGCTCTTCATGGCCCCTGTCAGCGACCAGATGCTGGAATGGCGCCTGGGCTTCTGGAGCTTGGAGAAGCAGCACTGTGGTGCGGACATGAGCTGCCTGCAGGGCTTCGCCACGCGCTGCCTCCTGGGCCTCTCGGAGATCGTGGTGCAGGGACGGTCTGGCGAGGACGTGCCGGCCCGGCCGCCGCGCTTTGCTCAGCTAGAGCTCTCCCGGCGCTGGCCTGGCTCAGGAGCTGGAGCGCGGAGTGGGCGGGCGCCTCCGCTGCAGCTGCTATGGCTGGGCGCCCAGGCTCGGCTTTGCCATCTGGTTCCAGGTGACCTTCCCTGGAGAGGAGTCGGGAAACCCCCGGTCCACCTCGCCTTTTCACCTGGTCACGCACTGGAAACAGGCGCTCCTCTACCTGAACGAGCCGGTGCAAGTGGAGCAAGACACGGACGTTTCAGGAGAGATCACGCTGCTGCCTTCCCGGGACAACCCCCGTCGCCTGCACGTGCTGCTGCGCTACAAAGTGGGAGGCCAGGAGGAGAAGACCAAAGACTTTCCCGTGGAGGACTGAGCGTTGCCTTTTCTCCCAGCCACCTCCCAAGGCAGAGAAAGGGAGATCTCACGTGCAAACGG